TTTGTTTTAATTGTGAGCTTTCTGTTCTCACAAACTCATTTTGTCAATCTACTCGTTGCTACCTTACCTATCCTGATGTTGATTTTTTGGTTCAGTGATAGTTTGTTATTCACTGTGGAACCCAGATAGGTGAAATGGTCTACTGTCTCCAGCTCTTCACCGTCAATGTAGACTGTAGGTCTATTAATAACACCTTGCACCATAACCTTTGTCTTCTTTTTTGCTGGCTGTTAATCCAAATTCACAGATAGTAAACATTTCAGCTGTTCCTCTGAGTGGGTGGTTATCGCGGCATCATCTTCAAACAGCAGCTCTCTGATCAGTACTTTTCTCATCCTGGTTTTGGCCTTCAGCCTGCGAGCATTGTAAAGGCTGCCATTAGATCAAGAATAAATGAATAAACCACTCTCCTGATCTTGAAAGGCATGTGTCAAAAGAAGTGAAAAGTATATCCCAAAGACGGTAGGAGCAAGTACACACCCCTGCTTCACTTCATTTTTGATTTCAAACTCCTCCGATGTTAAATCCTCAAAGTTGATCGTACCTTTCATAGCTGTGTGGAACGACTCAATAATGCTTAGTACGGTAGGTGGACCGCCAATCTTCTTCAGTGTGTTGAAGCAACATACAGGGGTTGATTTTTGTTTGCGGCGTTTTTCCTGGAACTGTCGTAATGAAAATATCAGTGGCAGACCTGTTGCCACCAAAGCCACACTGTGACTCTGGGTAAATCCGGCCCTTCGCAGAACAATTCTCGCATGGACTTGTCCAAGAGTACACAGCAGTGATATTCCCCTGTAGTTATTGCAGTCACTCCGATTACCCTTGTTCTTGTAATAGTTATGGTGCTTGCGTCTTTGAAGTCTTGCGGAACCTCTTGCCAGCAGAGTGTTATTAGCTGATGAATGTGTGGGGTTAGAATGTCATCTAACTTCTACAGCTGTTGAATGTGTGGGGTTAGAATGTCATCTAACTTCTACAGCTGTTGAATGTGTGGGGTTAGAATGTCATCTAACTTCTACAGCTGATGAATGTGTGGGGTTAGAATGTCATCTAACTTCTACAGCTGTTGAATGTGTGGGGTTAGAATGTCATCTAACTTCTACAGCTGTTGAATGTGTGGGGTTAGAATGTCTACTAACTTCTACAGCTGTTGAATGTGTGGGGTTAGAATGTCATCTAACTTCTACAGCTGTTGAATGTGTGGGGTTAGAATGTCATCTAACTTCTACAGCTGTTGAATGTGTGGGGTTAGAATGTCATCTAGCTTCTACAGCTGATGAATGTGTGGGGTTAGAATGTCATCTAACTTCTACAGCTGTTGAATGTGTGGGGTTAGAATGTCTACTAACTTCTACAGCTGTTGAATGTGTGGGGTTAGAATGTCATTTAACTTCTACAGCTGTTGAATGTGTGGGGTTAGAATGCCTACTAACTTCTACAGCTGTTGAATGTGTGGGGTTAGAATGTCTACTAACTTCTACAGCTGTTGAAAATGTGTCCAGATAGTCAAGAGTTGGTAGTGTCTTCATGGCATTCAGAGCAGCATCTGTCAGTTTAGTATCAACTGAGAAAAGGAGTCTGTGATGCTCAAGTCACTTCTAGTGAAGAATTCCACTAATCTGCCCATTTTCATTTATGTGGCCAACATATTTTCTAAGACAAATTGGTCATGAGTTTGAGTCTGACATCATGCGAGCATTAAATTCACAAAGTATATAGATGCCGTCAGATTGAGGAATTCCTTTATTATCCAGTTCCTCATAAAAAGAATCCTTTGCTTCCTCTATTAACGTTAGATTGGGTGCACATGCAGTAACAAGGGTGATAAAACCGCTTTGTTGACGTTAGATTGGGTGCATATGCAGTAACAAGGGTGATAAAACCGCTTGAGATAGACAATCGTGGAGATAATATATTGTCACTTCCTCCAGTTGGACTCTCAACTGATCCCAACAAGGATTTCTTTATTGCAAATCCCACTCTAAACATCCAGATTTCTTCCTGGCCTCTGCCTTTTCAGAAAAATGTATAATTATTTTCTCTAAAGGACCCATCCTCTGGCAGATGGGTTTTCTATAGGCCAGCAATATCTGTGTCAAGTTTGTTGAGTTCGGCATCAGTGATAGTCGTTTTTATTAGGGTTGTACCGAATATTCGCTTCGGGGCCGAATAGTTGCGGTCGGGCCAAATACGAATAGTGGTTACCTTACTCTCGTTCCTGCATACACTGTGATGGACTGAAATAACTCTTTCATTAACACAATAGTTGCTGTTGCCACAGTTGCCTAAGTCTGTCGTAGCGGAGGAAATGGCGACCCGGTTGCGTGGTTCAAACTGCATAAAATGCCAACCACAGTGTGTGTGTGTGTGTGTGTGTGTGAGAAAAGGGGTTGTGGGGGAAAGAAAGATCATGCATTTTTAGTTCTTTCAGGGTGTCTTCGCCCAAATCAAATTAGAAGATAATGGTAACGAGAATATGAAGGTGCGTTTAAATTACATCGAACGAACGGTCGGGCAAACGATGGTTTTGAAAAAAAGTGCTGTGATGTTGGTTCTTAAATAAAATCAAACAAATCAAATGTTTAAAAAAAAAGTTGGGGAAAAAAGGGGGGGGGGGTGTCAGGGCCTTAGGATTTGGCTGAGGCAGTCAGCAAGTTATAACAAAGAACAATTTTTCCATACTTTGGACAAGTACTAATGTGCAAACTCAGTTCTGATGTAAAGCATATATTGTGAGAGAGAGAGAGAGAGATGGATGTGTACATACTTTTAACACACTATTTGAAAGCTGAAGCTGTCTGTTTCATAATCACATTACATCTTTTAGTCCCATGCATCGCTTCAGAGGCCCAGCATAGTTAGCATCCTCTGGATATTTTCTCAAGGGTTTGCAGGTGTGTTAAGAAATAAACAGGCAGATAGACTGGCTGGTTCTACACCACCCAGAGGTTAACTAATATATGACAAACTATGTTTTCAAGGCCCTTTGAGAGTGAATGAACAGTGCAGAGGCACAATTAGTTGTCACGGTCTGAAGGGATGGTGATTCAGGGAGTTACCAGCAGATCTGGAAAACACTCCATACTTAAAGGAAAGACAGAATACAGAGCTGGAGATGGAGCACTTATGGGAATGTCTCAAGTGCTGTGATGTTGGTTCTTGAAACTCAACTCAAGAGTTAAATACACAATGCATTCCTAAGCCTACAGTCAGTATGGAGAACATAGAACAGTTCTTACCAGCGGGGGAAACCCCCACACACACACACACACACACAGAGAGAGAGAGAGAGCTTGGCTCTGATTCAAGTTGCAAAATGTTAAAGAACAACTTCATCTACCTAAAATAAATGAATCAGAAATTGACATCGCTGCACTAGGACATTCCCATACAAGCTCCATCCCCTTCTTCAGTAGCCAACAAACATACTAATAGTACCAGTTGTAGCCTGATTAAAAGTCCACCTCTGTTTGCCATGATCATAGTCCCAAGGCACTATGTGTTGTTTGGTCACCTGTTGCTGTTGGCTGTCTGACCAGCTCCATCTCGGATGCAATGGACATAATGTTTATATGTTTAAGGCCTGTCCATTCGCTCAGATTCTGTGTACAGCTCATTGTTTGCCTCTTCTCCTCCTCACCTCTACCAAGCTCTGGAGTATTATTTTGAGAAGCTGATCGATCATGTTAGATGTCCCTGCTGTTGCATTTTCTGTCTTATCATTGTTGTTAAGAGGTTCATAGTTTCCAGTGTGTTGAATGAAATACTCCCACTTAGCCAAAAGAGAGGCTGTTAGTGAGCTGAACAGTAAAGATCCAGTGTGTAGATTAGTTGTCACGCTGGGCAGAAGTAGCTACCATCAGATAATAGAAAAAATCCTGTATTTTACACACAAAAATGCCATTCCTAAAACAAAAATGATCAGAAATCCCCTTAGGTGTTTTATGAAACCTAAAGCACAGAATCTTGATAAAATATGAAAATGTAGAAAACAGATGTTTAAATTGATTTGTAATGTGAAATATGAAAGATAATCATAATCTACTGTGTCAGTTTAAAATTTGTTGATTGTACCGGCACTTTGTCTTTTGTGTATACTTGGTAGTGAATTCGTGAAAAGAAAAAAAGAGTGCTTGCGGTGGTTTTGCTAATGCAGAGTTGAGATTATAATCTATCAAAAAGGTCACTTTTAAGTTTAACAAAACATGTGCGGGTGGTTAAAAAGTTGTTGCACAGGCAGGCAGTGTAACTGTGACCTACATATCTCATTATCATATCAGTTTATCATTGTGTGTCAGTATACTGCACTGATATTCCAGAGATAGAAAATATTTAGTGACCTTTTTATTTTTGTCAAATTTTTTTTACCTTATGAAATGCCCATTTTGTCAATTATGATCCTGTAAAGCTGACTTAGTAGCAGTTGTAAGGCAACATTTTATAGATAAGGATAAGAATGGCCAAAGCAATATTCAACAGAATGAAATATTCTCATGTCTAAACAGCTGTGTTAACTCATTCAGTGCCAGTGTCACCAGCTTCTTGTGCCACATCCAGTTGTTACATTAACTCACTCCGCTCCATTTGTTATTTGATCTCCTCTTCCATAACTTTAACTTCCTCTTTAATTACCTTCACTCGTTCTCAGCCAAACATTTCTAAAGTTTAAGTTAAAACTTTCTGCTATAGAATGAATTAAATGTCTGCCTGCTTCTGAAAGTTTGCACTTGAAACTAAGAGTGATCAGTCACACCAGGCGTCATCCTTGAACTGGGTGACTTGACTGGTTAAAATGTGTCTTTTAACATTAAACAAATGTGTAAGTTGTATGTAAGGGGTGAAAGGAAATGTTCTGCGCCAGTACCGCCTGGCCTTGCCACGCCACTATGGGTGGGTGTGAGGAAGAGAGAAAATGAAAGATGTTTGGACTGAATAAAGCAGAGTATTTTGCCGGTTCCTCTTCAACACAACTCAGGATTCATTCTCATCATCCTCAGACTTCATCATCTCTACAAGAAACTAGAGCCCATGATTCCCGCAGAAGAACTTCCAGGAGTATCAATAATCAAACCTCTTATTGGGGTGGATACGAACTTAAAGAGCAACCTGGAAACATTTTTTACACAAAAATATCCCAATGTAAGTTATAATGGCATGTTATATTTGCACACAAAAAATGTTTGATCTTTTTTTCATGTTGCCAAAATATATATATATATATATATATATATATATATATATATATATATATATATATATATATATATATATATATATATATATATATATATATATATGTATATTAGGGCTGTACGGAATAGTGGTTTTCACTATTCGGCCGAATACAAATAGTGGGACCAACTATTTGGCCGAATACGAATAGTGTGTCATCATCATCAGGTGCCTCGCCACAATCTTCGATCTCCTGCAGCATGTATCAGTTTGTGTGCTGACACACCTCCATGACATGCAACAACTGTCAAGAATCTTCTCTCGTTGTCTTTTTCTATCTCTCCTTCCGCAAATCTTTTTAGTGGTCACCACATGTTCCATTTTCACTCTTTCTATATGATGGCCGAAAAATGATGACTGTCTTCTTCTGATGTCTGCGATTAGTTGTCATCGGGCTCCCGCCTCTTTCAAAACCTAGTGGTTGCTTTTTTTAAGCTGTCCAATGTATTTTAAGCATTGTTCTGTAAAACCACATCTCTGAGGCGCACACACACACACACACATATATATATAAATATATATACACATACACATATATATATATACATATATTTGTGTGTATATATATATATATACCTCTTGTCAGCAACTGATTGAGTACCTAACAGTAGGTAGAATGAACCACTGCCGTAACACAGCCTACCTACCACAGAATATTTATTATATATATATATATATATATATATATATATATATATATATATATATATATATATATATATATATATATATATATATATATATATATATATATATATATATATATATATATATATATCCATCCAGCAGTTTACCATTGCTTCTGAATCCTTGGCTTTCCTTACAGGAGAACAGCAGGAGATAAAAGAGGGAGAGAGAAAACGGCAGGAGATAAAAGAGGGAGAGAGAAAACGGCAGGAGATAAAAGTGGAATAGAGAAAACAGCAGGAGATAAAAGTGGAATAGAGAAAACAGCAGGAGATAAAAGTGGAATAGAGAAAACAACAGGAGATAGAAGTGGAATAGAGAAAACAGCAGGAGATAAAAGTAGAACAGAGAAAACAGCAGGAGATAAAAGTGGAATAGAGAAAACAGCAGGAGATAAAAGTGGAATTAGAGAAAACAGCAGGAGATAAAAGTGGAATAGAGAAAACAGCAGGAGATAGAAGTGGAATAGAGAAAACAGCAGGAGATAAAAGTAGAACAGAGAAAACAGCAGGAGATAAAAGTGGAATAGAGAAAACAGCAGGAGATAAAAGTAGAACAGAGAAAACAGCAGGAGATAAAAGTGGAATAGAGAAAACAGCAGGAGATAAAAGTGGAATAGAGAAAACAGCAGGAGATAGAAGTGGAATAGAGAAAACAGCAGGAGATAAAAGTAGAACAGAGAAAACAGCAGGAGATAAAAGTGAAATAGAGAAAACAGCAGGAGATAAAAGTGGAATAGAGAAAACAGCAGGAGATAAAAGTGGAATAGAGAAAACAGTATGTGGGTAATGTGCAGGCAGACAGATTGGTTGGATCTGCACTACTGGGTGGTGAATTGCTACATGGCAGGGCAGACTTGGTCAAGGTCCTTTGGGAACAAGCAACAGAATCAGTAGAGAAACAACATTATTATGGCCTGGAGAGAATGAGGTTCCTGGGTGTAACCAGAGGGTCTGGCAGGCTCACTACACTCAGAGGAAAGGCAAGACGGACATATAAGAGATTGTGACTGGTACCATCAGTATTGGGACTCTGCGCTGGCTGCTGAAGATGAGAGCGGAGTACACATGGGAATGCCTCTAGTGCTGTGATGTCAATTCTTGACTCAACTCAACTGATTCTGTTGGGAAGCATGACATTGCTTGACAGGCCAGACTATCAGCTTTCCTCAAGCCTGTCTCATGAAGTTGTAGTCAATCTTAGTTAGCACCTAAACATGTTTTACAAAGAGGTGCTAAGTTTATCAGGATACTGTCTCATCATCATCTTTAACTTGTACCTTTGCTATTAAGCAGCATGGGGAGGAACAATTCGTGGTCCAGCATTTCAACATGATCAATACACTACACACAAGAGAATTCAACAGAGTAATAACAAAGTACAGATTATAAGAGTGTCACATGACAGACTCCTGGCAACACAAGTGAGAACGAAAAATAATGATAATTTGGGCAAAATTTTAATTAATTTTTATTTTATCTTCATGTTCATAAAAACTTGTTGATGTTAACAGTTATAAAAGTGTTTTCTGTCACGTTTCAGTATGAGATACTGTTCAGTGTTCCAGACGACAATGATCCTGCTATTCTTGTAGTTAAAAGCTTGATAGAAAGCTATCCCAAGGTAGATGCCAAGCTCTTTATTGGTGAGTTCTCTTGATTACAAATTAGATAATAATAGCAGTACAGTTTAGAACAGACAAATGGGAGGAGGGAGTGGGTGTAGTACATAGGCTTCTTTCTTAATAGTCAGGGGTTTAGAGGCAGAATAGGAAATTCCCAGAAAAGAGTTACTTAGTGGGAAAAAAATCATATGAAAATAAACTTTGCAAAGTTAGGTAGTGCTGATGTGTGAACTACCAAAATCATAATAAAAAGATTAACTGAAATTTAAACAAAACAAAAAGTGAAAAATAAATAAATATCCTGAAAAAGTTTACACTTCAAATGAAAGAATGAATAAAGGAGCAACATATGTGCAGTCATGAACTGGGACAGCTGACATCATTTGTGGTCAGCATTATGCTACAAGTGTCAGACATGGGACACTTACTTCAGCTGAGTGAGAAATCCTAACAGAGATGGGATGTCTTTTAAGAACTGCCAGAATAGCAAGAGAAGAACAAAATTTTAAAAGTTACAAAAAGACCAGGATTGAAACCTCCTTATGTGGGTTCTAGGCCCATTCTGTGGGGGAAAAAGGGATAAACCCACTGCCTCCCTAACAAGCACATCATTGAAGGTGACTAATTAGGGCAGTTTCTTGGAAGTTGGTGTGCATCTGCCTGATAGATGAGGAGCCAACAGTCTGCATAAAAATAAGTCAGATCTGTCAAATGGATCTGCATGCAAAACATAAGTTCTGGAATGCGACCAAAGTCCAGAAATGGACAAACAACCAGAACTTTCTGCCTGAGTTTACAGCCTGTGAAGGCTAAAATGAAGAAGGATTGAAACCAGTCATGCAGTAAGATAGTTCGGCCATCTGATAAGAATGCCCTGATACCGACTACCACAAGTAGCCAGACTGAAGAAATATACTAAGCACATAGCAAAGCAAAAGTACAGCTACCTAAGAGAAATGAAGACTTAACTTACACAGCATTAGAAAAAGTACACAACACTTCCCTTTGGTAATTGGAGGAAGAGGATAAGACACCAGTTTCGATAGAAAATCTCTGTCCATGTTTTTGTTATACCAGTTTCTCCAAATAATATTGAAAATAACACCGACCTGAGCTGTGACCAACATCTCTGTGGGTATTTTAACTTGTGATTGTGATTTAGTTTTTATTACTTGTGCATCTGTGGACATGAATTATCATCATAATGTTGGGGGCATTTGCCTCCTTTTTCATCTGACCAAGAATGTGCATTTGGATGAAGAACCATTGTCGTGCGGTTTAATTAAATGGTGGTAGGACCCAGAATGTTCAACCCAGACCTTGAAGTGGAGACAACTACTTTGTAAGATCATGGGTGAACTGCAGCCATTAGAGAAGCCAGATTTCTCTTGTATTCTTTGACCAAACATAAAAACTAATACAGAGACTCTGTAGTGTGGTTTTATAATCACAGTAGATAGTATATTTTGCATTTCATTGAGCTGAAAGAGTTTAATCTGATAGACTGTGCATACAGTTTTTTTTTTGCAGTGTTACCATTGATTTTTCATGTGTATTTTTCAGGTCTAAGAAATGTTGGTCCAAATGGAAAAATCAATAACATGATACGTGCATATGAGGCGGCTAAGTATGATAACATCGTTATCTCAGACACGGGTATCAAAAGTAAGAAGGCATTATCATTTGATTGCTCACCATCACAAACAATTTTTCCTTTGATTTTGCCTCCTTTTGAAACTTATTTTTTCCCTTTGAACATTACAAATAGTTTCCTGACATTTGCTTTTCTGACTCTGCATTTATTGGTTAATGACTCCTGGCAACTGTGACATTCTAAATGTTGATATTGTATTCATTGGTTAATGACTCCTGGCAACTGTGACATTCTAAATGTTGATATTGTATTCATTGGTTAGTGACTCCTGGCAACTGTGACATTCTAAATGTTGATATTGTATTCATTGGTTAGTGACTCCTGGCAACTGTGACATTCTAAATGTTGATATTGTATTCATTGGTTAGTGACTCCTGGCAACTGTGACATTCTAAATGTTGATATTGTATTCATTGGTTAGTGACTCCTGGCAACTGTGACATTCTATATTGTATTCATTGGTTAATGACTCCTGGCAACTGTGACATTCTAAATGTTGATAAGGTATTCATTGGTTAGTGACTCCTGGCAACTGTGACATTCTAACCAGCTGCATGACAATTGAGGTGACACAAGCTTTCACGTGGCTTGAATCTCAGGGCTGTTCCTGCGTGTGTGTGCTGAGTGATTCTTTGAGCATGATATGGCGGGTCAAGGCAAGCTTTTTGCGCAGACAGTGAATTAAGTCATTGCAAAACTCTCCTGTGTGTGCAGTTACTTTCATATTTGTCCTAGGTTATACAGGTGTTGGCCAAAAAAAAAAAAGATAGACTGGCAGGCTCAGCATTAGTAGCAGATGGCCAGCCCATTTATCACTCACACATTGTCAGTGCCCTTGGAGAGATAGTATGTACCAAGGATTTTGGAAGCAACATATCCACATCACTGCTAAGAATACGAGCATTGGGAGTAAAGATCGGCACGGCTAAACATGAGAAACACACATGTTTTGTCAGCCAGCATAGACTAAAACTATTAATTGCGGATGCTGATAAATATGTTGAAGGAACCTCATAACTCACAGTGTTGATAGCAGATTGAAAGGCAATCTGTGATGTGCTTATATACAGTTGTTACGACATTAGAATGTCCTGCAGTTTCTAGACATTGTATTTAACACCAAAAAAAATGAATTCAGTGATGAAAGGGTTAATGTGTATAGTTTATTGCAATATTGCTAATCATGGATGATATTTATTTAATTGCATTAGTCCTCAGTCCTAACTCTGCATCATAGAAGTTTAAATCCAATATATACTATTTAGATCACAGTTCCTAATCACTATAATAAAACATTCACTGTGATCGAATCATTCGTTGACATGTTTTCCCCCCATTTACTATATTTATGTGTGGCTTTTTTGTGTGTCTTATTGGTATTGTTTCTGTTTTTAGTGACCATCACAACACTGAGTGAAATGGTCCATTGTTTGAAACCTGATGTGGGTCTAGTAATACAGATGCCTTATTGTGCTACAAGAAAAGGTTTTGGTGCAATTTACCAACAGGTATATGGAATTTTACTTTTGTATTAACAGTTACTGATAATTAGACCTGTTCGTATTTGATCTGTGACCAGATAATTCATTGATAACCTTTTAACGTTTACAGCAGTATTTATCATGTGGATTCTGACATTCATATTATATCCCCCACAACAAAGATAAAGAAATAGGTTATCAGCAAATGTTGTTTTCATAATGTTCTCCGAAGTCTCATCTAAAGGGAGGAGGTTTTCTGCTTATGGAGGTAACTTCCTTACCATGTAGACATCTTCTGTCACATGGTGTCTTTTTAAGATCATCATCATGTAGCAGGTTCTTTGCAAAACGTCGCTCTCATCATGGTCAGCCTGAAAGAAACTCTGTCTCTCGCCAGCTCTCCCGCCTCATGTACATTCATATCTAAGGAGTCACCTATATTCCGTGTCCATCTTCAGTAGTCAGCCCTACTCCTCCTCTCTGGTACCAGGCCTGCTGCTATTATTGGTTCCAGTTCGCGGTGGCATTTAAAATCACCAAAATTATTTAAGCTTCTGAGACAAGATGCTGTTTATCAGCCAATCTTCATTGAAGTTCAGATCTTTTAGGACCATGATAAGTTTCTTGGGATAATAATGTGATAGTTTTCACTTGCTTTCCCCATCCTGATGGCTTTAACTTCTTAACATAAGTGAATTTATTTCACTTTGTAGATTAAGATATAACTGAACCTGCCTACAAGGTTTCTGTATTGTCAGTAATACATTTAACTTTGCCATATTAAAGAAAAATGACACATATTTTAACATTGATGCCAATGTGTTGAAACCATTTACACAAACCTTGTTTCTTATACCTTGTTTTCTATCACTATTCTAAATCACACTAAATTTAAAAGTGACAAGACCCCCCTCCTCCCCCCCCCCCCCACACACACGCACACACACACACGATTCTGGGGTTGACAGCCTCACACAAAAAAGCACCAGAATTGTCTCAGGAGAAGAGAGGTTGAGGAAGGACACTGGCCACCTTCACCTCATGAGCTGGCCTGAGATGTATGAAGGCTGCAAACTGGACATCACACATCAGTATCTGCTCTGGAACTACCCTTACCATGAGACCAAGTTTAGTTGTGCTGAAATAATTTTATTTTCAAGTTTTTTATTTGTTTTCTTTTTTCCCACTGATGGTTTTTTTTTGGTTGCAGGTGTACTTTGGGACAATGCAAGCCAGAAATTGTCTGAGTGCCAATGCTGTCGGCGTCAACTGTTCCACCGGCATGTCTAGTTTGCTGCGCCGCGATGTCCTGGAGACTGTTGGTGGCCTACAAGCGTTTTCTAAATATCTGGCAGAGGACCATTTTATAGCAAAAGCAATCAGATCCCAGTAAGTTTGCTCTTGTTGGTGTGCAGGGTTTCGTGGAGGTCACATCACATTTGTCTGTTGACATGAACATTCAGATGCATTGATAATTATAACATTTTGACTGCATTGATTTTGTTGGGGAAACATTTCAGACTGAGAAAAGTCAGCCCTGCAGAAAATGTCTTGTATATTTGTTTTCCGGTAAACACACATTAAGATTCTTGCAGGTTCTCGTGAACCATATCATCTAATGCCTGGCTGAATGGTACAGGCGGTCATGCTTCTCCACCTCTTGTCTCCAACAGCTTCTATCATTTCATGTGTCATGTATCAGTTCATATGTCATGTATCAGTTCATGTGTCGTGTATCAGTTCATGAGTCATGTATCAGTTCATGTGTCATGTATTAATTCATGTGTCATGTATCAGTTCATGTGTCATGTATCAGTTCATGTGCGTGTATCAGTTCATGTGTCGTGTATCAGTTCATGTGTCATGTATCAATTCATGTGTCATGTATCAATTCATGTGTCATGTATCAATTCATGTGTCCTGTATCAGTTCATGTGTCCTGTATCAGTTCATGTGTTGTGTATCAGTTCATGTGTCCTGTATCAGTTCATGTGTCATGTATCAGTTCATGTGTCATGTATCAGTTCATGTGTCATGTATCAGCTCATGTATCAGTTCATGTGTCATGTATCAGTTTATGTGTCATGTATCAGTTCATGTGTCATGTATCAGTTCATGTGTCATGTATCAGTTCATGTGTCATGTATCAGTTCATGTGTTATGTATCAGTTCATGTGTGATGTATCAGTTAATGTGTCATGTATCAGTTCATGTGTCATGTATCAGTTCATGTGTCGTGTATCAGTTCATGTGTTATGTATCAGTTCATGTGTTATGTATCAGTTCATGTGTCATGTATCAGTTCATGTGTCATGTATCAGTTCATGTGTCATGTATCAGTTTACGTGTCATGTATCAGTTCATGTGTCATGTATCAGTTTATGTGTCATGTATCAGTTCATGTGTCATGTATCAGTTTACGTGTCATGTATCAGGTCATGTATCAGTTCATGTGTCATGTATCAGTTCATGTGTCATGTATCAGTTTACGTGTCATGTATCAGTTCATCTGTCATGTATCAGTTTACGTGTCATGTATCAGTTCATGTGTTATGTATCAGTTCATGTGTTATGTATCAGTTCATGTGTCATGTATCAGTTCATGTGTCATGTATCAGTTCATGTGTCATGTATCAGTTTACGTGTCATGTATCAGATCATGTGTCATGTATCAGTTTATGTGTCATGTATCAGTTTACGTGTCATGTATCAGTTCATGTGTCATGTATCAGTTCATGTGTCATGTATCAGTTCATGTGTCATGTATCAGTTCATGTGTCATGTATCAGTTCATGTGTCATGTATCAGTTCATGTGTCATGTATCAGTTCATGTGTCATGTATCAGTTTATGTGTCATGTATGTTCATGTATCAGTTTATGTGTCATGTATCAGTTTATGTGTCATGTATCAGTTTATCTGTCATGTATCAGTTCATGTGTCCTGTATCAGTTTATGTGTCATGTATCAGTTCATGTGTCCTGTATCAGTTTATCTGTCATGTATCAGTTTATGTGTCATGTATCAGTTTATGTGTCATGTATCAGTTTATCTGTCATGTATCAGTTTATCTGTCATGTATCAGTTTATGTGTCATGTATCAGTTTATCTGTCATGTATCAGTTTATGTGTCATGTATCAGTTTATCTGTCATGTATCAGTTTATGTGTCATGTATCAGTTCATGTGTCATGTATCAGTTTATGTGTCATGTATCAGTTCATGTGTCATGTATCAGTTCACGTGTCATGTATCAGTTTATCTGTCATGTATCAGTTTATGTGTCCCAGGGTTCGTAGTGGACCGGGAAATCGGGAAATTACCGGGATTTTTTTCGTTGACCTTGAACCGTGAATTTTAGCTTATAAAAGACATTCCGACCTTGAAAAGCCGTGAATTTTGACCATCGTCAGAAATCCTGTGTTTCTCAGCACTGGCAATTTTGGCGGAGCCATTTGGCATATTTGGCCATTTTGCTAGTTTTTGGCTACTTTTGTTGTACGGTCGTTTCAGGTGTGAGGGCAGCTGATTATTGGCTATTTTCAGCCGAAATGGCTTGTTAAAGGCCAGGGGAGGGCGGGCTGTGTTGCAGATCATGAATGACAGCAGCGGTGTGGCATGGGGCGGGAAGTAGCAGATTCCGTCTCGAGCGTGTGTGTGTGCCTTTGTTTCTAGCAAGAATGAACAGTAAAAATCGTTTATGGCCGTGGTTTCTAGAAAGGATTACATTGGGAGATGGTGGGGCTCGGTTCAGTTGTATTTATAAATAGAGTCGCCGTGGTGGGGGCTAAGCATGGCGGCCTTCTCTATTAATTAGAGATGGCATTGAGGCTAAGCAAAGTGACTGCAGCTGGATTTCCCAGTTCTATTTTTGGCCTGGATTTATCTTTACAGTGTGTTTGGCGATCAGTATTGTAATTCCCCGAGATTCCCTCTTCTGTTGTCTCACCCCTCTCTCTCTTCCCTCCCTCTTTCACTCTTCTACCTATTGCTCCTTCCTTCCCGTCTCCTGCATTGTCTCTAACCCTCCCTTCTGATCTTTATCTTCTTCTCTTTCTCTCTATCTTTCCATTGACTCTCTCATTTCTTGTCCCCCCTCCCCCTTTTTCCTATTTTATTTCTTGTTTAAATGTTTAGTAAATGTGCGGCTCCATAACTCTTCCTAGCAACTCAAGTACACAGGAAGTTGTATTGGGGGGGGGGGGGGGGTGGCATTCTGTGTGAACATGGTGGATATTTTCTTTTGATGTGTTTGTTTTCCTAGCGGCCTTAATCTCTGTCCATCTCCCTTCCCGCCCCCTCACATTTTGTCCTACCTGTTCCTCACTCTCTGCCTGTCTGTGTCACTGCTTTCCTCTCTCTCTTTCTCTTTGTATTTGCCACTCTCCCTCACTCCCTCTCTCTCTCTCTTTCTTTCTCCATACCTTCAGTTGGTGTAGAAGGTTATGTGTTGCCTAGTGCAGAACATTTCATGTCCACCATTCCCCCCTCCCACACATTAAATATATGTGTACTTTTAAAAACACATTTGCCGTCACCCCCCCCCCCCTTTTTTTTTTCTCCTCCCACATTGATGACACCTAGGGGAGGGAGTGCACCCCTTCCTGCTACCTTCTTCCCTCTATATCTTATCTTATTTCTTACTCCCTTCTTTCTCTCCCTGTCTCATTCCCACTTTATTTTCTTAAACTTTATTCTCTCACCTCCTCTGTCTCACCCTTACCACCTCAGCCTTCTACACCACTTTCCACCACCTCCTCTCTCCCCTCCTTTCTGTAATTGGAAAACCAGAAATAAAACGAAGTCCACTGCTGCCCTGACCTATTTATGTGTCTGACCTATTTATGTGTGTGGGTAAACTTCTCTATTTTCTACCAGTGGTGGGTTGGGATCCCCTGGACTTTTTTTTTCTTCATAAAATGACCTTGGCTCTCAGGTCACCAGCCTTAAGTGTAAGAAATTGAATTATTGTTGTCACACACAGATAGGACAAGCAAGGGGCAGTAGGGGTTAGCACTGTTGTTTTTGGACCATGGCCACATTCACATTGGGAGAGGGTAGGAACTGGAAAAGTGGCCTGACTTAGAGATTTCCTAATTCTATTTTTGGCACTCATTGTTCTTACACACCCCCCCCCCCACCCCCACAACCGTGTCTTACCTTTCTTCTCTCACCCCTTCTCTTTCCTTTGATCTTCTACTATTCTCCTTTCTCTCTCCATTCTTCATCTCTTCCTTTCCTTGCCCTTTCTTCTGTCCCATCTCTTCTTTGTCTCCTCTCCATCCTGTCTTTTCATTTTCTCTAGATTTCCTTACCCGCTCCCCTCTCTCATTCTCTCCCCCCATTTTTTACTGGTTCATCTACGTATTTTTTTGCCCCATAACTCTTTTCCTAGTGGTTGTGTCCACTACACTTGAAATTGGGGGGGGGGGGGGGGGGGGGAGTAGGTGGCTGTTTTTTTTCTTTGATGTATCTTGTCTCCCTTCCTGCCCCTCTCTCTTAATCTGTGTTTGTCACTGCCTTCCTTACCCACCTCTCTCTCTCTCTCTCTCTTGCTTTATGTCTGTTTGCCTCCCTTCATCACTTCCTCTTTGTATACCTCCCTCCCATTCTCCTGTTCTGCCTTTTTTCTCTTTCTTTGGTTCTCTCCCTCTGTCTGCTTGCCTCTCTGTGCTGTCCCTTTGTCTCTCTCTCCTTTATGTCTACATCTCTCTCTGCTTGCATCTGCTTCTCACCCTGTCCGTTCTCTCTCCCTCTGTCTCCCTTCTTTCAACTCTTTGTCATATTTTCCTCCTTCCATATCTCTGTTTCGTTCCCTTTTTCCTTCTCTTTTCATCTGCCCATCTCTGTATCTGCATTCCCTCTTTCTGTATTTGTCTCCCTCTCTGTCTTTCGCTGTCCCTTCCCCACTTTTCCTCATCATGTCTCCATCCCTCCCTCTCATTTTTTCCTCCTTCCCCAGACTTCTTTTCCTTCTTTTCTCTACCTCCATCTGTCCATCTTTACACTGTCTCTCCCAGCCTACCTCAGCATGTGTCTTCCTCTCTCTTCATGACTCTCTCTCTCCCCCCTAACCCTCTCAGGTACCAGGTCCAGAACAGACAGGACTTCAGTTTGCTGCCCTCTACCACCAAGCCCTAAAAAAAAATTGCAAACACTATATCAAGCTCAGGGGCCGACCAACACGAAGATGAGCACAGGATATAAGTGACTCCTTGAGTATAAAAAAGTACATGAGGCGGGAGAGCTGGTGAGAGACCGAGGTTTTTTTGTCAGGACAAAGGAAATGCTACATGATGATGATATCTGTGCTGGTATACCAACACATGTGGCACAAATGAAGTACCTTGTGTGCTCAGTACACCCTTGAACAAGGCAAAAATCTTGTTTCAGTATTACACCGAGACAACCTTGAAAAAAACTAAGGAGACCTTGAAAAAGACCTTGAAAAGCCTTGAAATTGATTGGTAAATTTGGCTATGAACCCTGGTGTCCTGTATCAGTTCATGTGTCATGTATCAGTTTACGTGTCATGTATCAGTTTATGTGTCATGTATCAGATCATGTGTCATGTATCAGTTTATGTGTCATGTATCAGTTTATGTGTCATGTATCAGTTTATGTGTGATGTATCAGTTTATGTGTCATGTATCAGTTTATGTGTCATGTATCAGTTTATGTGTCATGTATCAGTTTATGTGTCATGTATCAGTTCATGTGTGATGTATCAGTTCATGTGTCATGTATCAGTTCATGTGTCATGTATCAGTTCATTCATGTGTCATGTATCAGTTTATGTGTCATGTATCAGATCATGTGTCATGTATCAGTTTATGTGTCATGTATCAGTTTATGTGTCATGTATCAGTTTATGTGTCATGTATCAGATCATGTGTCATGTATCAGTTCATGTGTCATGTATCAGTTTATGTGTCATGTATCAGTTTATGTGTCATGTATCAGTTTATGTGTCATGTATCAGATCATGTGTCATGTATCAGTTCATGTGTCATGTATCAGTTTATGTGTCATGTATCAGTTTATGTGTCATGTATCAGTTTATGTGTCATGTATCAGTTTATGTGTCATGTATCAGTTTATGTGTCATGTATCAGTTCATGTGTCATGTATCAGTTCATGTGTCGTGTATCAGTTCATGTGTCATGTATCAGTTTATGTGTCATGTATCAGTTCATGTGTCATGTATCAGTTCATGTGTCGTGTATCAGTTCATGTGTCATGTATCAGTTTATGTGTCATGTATCAGTTTATGTGTCATGTATCAGATCATGTGTCATGTATCAGTTCATGTGTCATGTATCAGTTTACGTGTCATGTATCAGTTTACGTGTCATGTATCAGTTTATGTGTCATGTATCAGTTTATGTGTTATGTATCAGTTTATGTGTCATGTATCAGTTTACGTGTCATGTATCAGTTCATGTGTCATGTATCAGTTCATGTGTTATGTATCTATTCATGTGTCATGTATCAGTTCATGTGTTATGTATCTATTCATGTGTCATGTATCAGTTTACGTGTCATGTATCAGTTCATCTGTCATGTATCAGTTCATGTGTCATGTATCTATTCATGTGTCATGTATTAGTTCATGTGTCCTGTATCAGTTCATGTGTCGTGTATCAGTTCATGTGTCGTGTATCAGTTCATGTGTCCTGTATCAGTTCATGTGTCATGTATCAGTTCATGTGTCATGTATCAGTTCATGTGTCATGTATCAGGTCATGTATCAGGTCATGTGTCATGTATCAGGTCATGTGTCATGTGTCATGTATCAGTTCATGTGTGATGTATCAGTTCATGTGTCATGTATCAGTTCATGTGTCATGTATCAGTTCATTCATGTGTCATGTATCAGTTCATGTGTCATGTATCAGTTCATGTGTCATGTATCAGGTCATGTGTCATGTATCAGTTCATGTGTCATGTATCAGTTTATGTGTCATGTATCAGATCATGTGTCATGTATCAGTTCATGTGTCGTGTATCAGTTCATGTGTTATGTATCAGTTCATGTGTTATGTATCAGTTCATGTGTCATGTATCAGGTCATGTGTCATGTATCAGTTCATGTGTCATGTATCAGTTCATGTGTCATGTATCAGTTCATGTGTCATGTATCAGTTCATGAGTCATGTATCAGTTCATGTGTCATGTATCAGTTCATGTGTCATGTATCAGGTCATGTGTCATGTATCAGGTCATGTGTCATGTATCAGTTCATGTGTCTAAACCCTTCCTCACCATGACAGAGGCTGTCAAGCATTTTCTCTGGTTGTCTTTATCCATCTGTCTGTCCATAATCTTTCCAGTAGTCACAGCCAACTGTTAGATGTCTCTGTGGTGAAGTGGTCAAACTGTCTGCCTTGTGTTCTGAAGGTCGTGGGTTTGTTTCATAGCTGCTCGTTTGGTTCATGAGTGCAGTTTTTATGATATCTCTGGGGAGCTGTGGAGTTTTTGTGGGTCCTTCGATGGGCAGATAGCCATTCTTGAGGAGAGATTGAGCCAGATGGTACAAAACCCAGTGCTGTGGAGTTGACCCTCTAGGTTTTAGCAAGAACATGTGGCCTAAAAAAGCAGTCAGTTTCTGATATTGCTGAAAAGTTGTCTTCAGGTCTTAGCCTCTTTTGAGACATGTTAATCACTAATTTTGTCAGTCCTTGAAATTGTAAGCATTCCTCTTTAAAATAAAATTTTTTGGGTTTATTTATTTAATTTCAAGGTTTCACAGATAAATTTATTCAAACTGTTTCTGTGTGCAAGAATTCTTGTTCTGAATAAACCTTCTTGAGTAAAACCTTGCTGAAATACTCTGGAAAACAGAATGAATCAATGAACTGATGTAACGTCACTGCAGCCAGCAAAGAGTTCTAATGTTTTGGTTGACAATGGCAACTTGATTAAATGTCCACCTATATATTTTCTGTGTGTGTTGGGAGCCATCCAGATCCTCTACTTAAAACCACCCCCACCCCACCCCGCCCCGTCACATGTGGGTCCAGTAAAGAGGAAATATACAATATGTATAGCACATTCATCAGTCACCAGGTCTTTTACAGAACATTGCTGTTCTTACAGCATACCTGCAAGTCTGTCTCTTTCTCCAGCCCATTGTCCAGCCCTATATGCTTACATAACCAGTGCTGTTCAGTGTCTTGTCACCAGTGCGCTACTGAAACAATAAGTACCTTAGTATTTACTACAGGAGGCGAGCAGTTTCGGGTAAATGGGTGTGCTTTGATGTAATTTCTCAACCCTATCACAATCAGATATCTGTGAAGGAAGTGTTTGTGTGTGTGTGTCACGGCATATAATGATTGATTGATTTACATTTACTTTTCCCTGCAGGGGTTACAAGGTGGTTCTTGCAACCACCCCAGCCTTGCAGAATTCTGGAAATTGTTCAATAACAGAATTCCATAAGAGACTGGTCAGGTGAGTGTTACAATAGAAGTCTGGCCCCTACCCATTTTGCTGATTCTAAATCTATGTGTAACTTGAAAAAACTAAATTGTAAATACCAAATTAATGGAAAATAAATAGTATCTTATTGAGAATAAATAATAACAGACCTTCAGCCTCTTAAAGTCATGTCATAAAAGTGCTGACACTGGATGTGTGGAGCTGAAAGGTGCAGATATCTCAGCCTAGCTGTAAACCATGACCCCTCTTTTTAAAGGTGGCTACAGAGCATGTGTTTTAAATTTACAAATTAAAGAGGTTTTTTCTTCCAACTGTTGATCAAAGGATTAATATGAGAATCAACACTGAAAAGACAGAAGTAATGTCAATAGGAAAAAAGTAGACAGATCTAAACATAGCAATAGAATACAAAGGCATTAAACAGGCATCTGAGTTTAAATATCTGGGAACTACATTTACAGAAGATGGGAAATTGGATAAAGAAATTAACTTTAGATGCAGTAAAGCAAACCAAGTATTGGGACAGCTAGCCCCCCTCTTACAGCATAAGACAATCCCAATCAGCACAAAGAGACATCTTATTCAAAGCATATTTATTCCAACTCTGTGCTACCAGTGCCAGACATGGTCACTCACAACAAACCTTAAAAGAAAATTAGTAACCACGGAAATGAGATGTCTGAGAAGGGCTGTAGGAGTGACCATAAGAGATAAGATCAGGAATGAGATCATAAGAGAACAAGTCGGCACAGAACCAATTCTGGATTACATACAAAGACAGCAAGTGAAATGGTTTGCCCACTTAGAGAGAATGCCTTTTGACACCATACCATACAAAGCATACATGGAAAGAGAAGAAGGACGTAGAGCACGGGGTAGACCAAGAACAGGATGGAAGGATAATATCAGAGAAACTCTACAACAGCACGATGTGCAACCAGAAGAGCTAGTAACAGAACCTTATATCTCCCTCGACACCCACAGCGGTAAAAGAGGAAGTGAAGAAAAAGAAGAAGAAGAAGATCAAAGGATTTAGTTAGAAGAATTAACTTTGTCACACCAGTCTCAGCATATATTTTTATATATTTTATTTTGTAAAATAATTTTTTTTTTTAAACCGAGCATTTAAAAAAAATTATTTACAGGTGGGCCCAGCTGCGGATATCGATGCTACCTCTACTGATATTTTTTGAGCCTTTGGGAGAATGTTTCCTGTTGGGTGGCATCACATCCTGGGCAGCAAATTTCCTCTTTGATATTTCTCCTCTTGCCTTTTTCTTGAGTCATCTGTTGCTGTGGTTTCTGTGTGACTACATTCTCTTTAGGATAGTTGAGGTAAGTTTTCTGTTTCTTCATTAATTACCTTAATTTTAGTAAAAATCCAAATTTTAATTTTGACATATTTCTGTCTCTAGTCATTCTGTTCTGACATTAACCATCAGCCATTTTGTTTCTTCTTAACATTTTTTTCTTAGTGTTTGCAGCATATTTATATTTGTAGTCGCTGAGGTTAACACTTCTATCCAGATTTATGTCATCACAAAAAGACATCTTCGTGAACTATTGCTTACTTTAGGAAAAGAGGAGTAAGCTTTTTCTACGTTATTCAGTTTTAAGGATTCATTTATCTGCTCCATGTTATTCAGTTGTAAGGATTCATTTATCTGCTCCACGTTTTTTAGTTGTAAGGATATATTTATTTGCTTGATGTTATTTAGTTGTAAGGTTTCATTTATCTGCAACGTTATTCAGCTGTAAGGATTTATTTAGTTGTCAGGGTTCATTTATCTGCTCCACGTTATTCGGTTGTAAGGATAATTTTTTTTTGCCTGATGTTATTCAGTTGTAAGGATTTGTTTATTTGTCAGATGTTATTCACTTGTAAGGATTTATTTATCTGCTCACGCTATTTAGGTGTAAAGATTCATTATCTGATCCATGCTATTCAGTTTTAAGGATTCATTTATCTGCTGCATGTTATTCAGCTGTAAGGATTCTTTTATTTTGCCTGATGTTATTCAGTTTTAATGTAATATCCACCTGAGGAGATACAATTAAATATGACAGGCAATAAATTGTGCAATATTTTGTTTAGGTCTACTTTGTTCAAATTGTTGTTTGTAACAAATATCCAGATATGTGAATTAATTATTTGTTGTCGTGGTGTTGGTATTATAATTTGCAGTGTCTGTGAAAATCAGCAGATTGGGACGTTCATGTTGGGCACTCAAAGCAGGTAAATACACATTAGCCCAGAAGTGTTGACACTGCAAAGTTTGCACATCAGTGCTGATCATTGGCTGGGCTGTCACACTGTACACGCTAATGCTAAGTAATTTTGGAACCCTGGTCAACTGTTGCAGTGACCATATTTATCTAAATGTGAACATGTGCTGGAAAGTTAAAAATACTAACAAAAAAAAACAAATATTTGTGTATAATTGATTGAATAGGACAACTGTAGCGCAAGATGAACAAAAAATATTAAGATAATTGATCTGATAGAAATGTTGTTGGAATCATCTCTAATGCAAACATGTTGCATTCAGAGTAGAGGAGCCTGTCAGATGAAACAGCTACTACACCAACTTAGTGATTGCTTCATTAGTTAGTTGGTCGACAGTCCTTTCACTCTGCTTATTGAAGCATTCAGTTCATAAGAGTTCAGATCCTGTCCTGGGTACACCCGCCAGCGTATAATTGCTAAGGACACCTGTTCTATGCTGACTTACTTTTCTTTAATGTTCTCTCTGGCTTCACTCCTTTTGGCATTATTGTAGTCTGGTCTTGTGGTCTGCTGCATTTTTTTTTATATAAGTCAACATTTTTATTTGTCCATGTTATATTACATTTGTGTAAATATTTTATGTAATAAGTCACTTTCATCAAATGTAAGGAGTACCAGAATGTTTTGTCAAAGCTGTTCTGCTTTATTCCAGCCAGTCATGTCATGTGAACTGACAAACTTGGAAGAGCTGTGGTTGTGGTTTCTGAGATGCATGTTGTAAATGTATCTGACAGTCAGCATAACTAACAGTGGGCATCTGGAAAGGACTTTCCTTTCTGGTTCCCCTGTACCCCCCCCCCTTTCCCCCACCCAACCTCCCTTTCCAGGCTGCTGCCCTGGGATTATAAAATTTGAGTCTGGATGGCAAGCCAGAAGAGCATATTCTGCATACTTCGTTCATCATGTAAAGAAGTTACAGTTAAACCACCCATAATAGTGAAAGGTGCCTTGATAACCGGCAGTCCATGTGGGTCAAGATTACACCCTGGGTTCTGGGGGAATTGATGGAAAAGGCTTTTGAAAATAGAACATATTATATAACTAAAAAAAGAGATGAATATTATTCTTTGGTCATATGATGAAAAGAAAGATACTGGAGAGGATGATGATGATTAGAAAAATGAGCAGTGGAAGAGACAGATAAAACAATGCTGAAAGTATAATGGTATCATCAAGTTATATCAGAACTGATCCACAACACCAAGGACAGAGATCTGTGGGGAGACATACCTACCTACAACCACCTGGTGTACACCAAGGACAGAGATCTGTGGGGAGACATACCTACCTACACCATCTGGTGTACACCAAGGACAGAGATCTGTGGGGAGACATGCCTACCTACACCACCTGGTGTACACCAAGGACAGAGATTTGTGGGGAGACATGCCTACCTACACCACCTGGTGTACACCAAGGACAGAGATCTGTGGGGAGACATACCTACCTACAACATCTGGTGTACACCAAGGACAGAGATCTGTGGGGAGACATGCCTACCTACAACATCTGGTGTACACCAAGGACAGAGATCTGTGGGGAGACATGCCTACCTACAACATCTGGTGTACACCAAGGACAGAGATCTGTGGGGAGACATACCTACCTACACCACCTGGTGTACACCAAGGACAGAGATCTGTGGGGAGACATGCCTACCTACACCACCTGGTGTACACCAAGGACAGAGATCTGTGGGGAGACATACCTACCTACAACATCTGGTGTACACCAAGGACAGAGATCTGTGGGAGACAGCCTACCTACACCATCTGGTGTACCTACCTACAACATCTGGTGTACACCAAGGAAGGACAGAGATCCTACCTACAAACATCTGGTGTTACACCAAGGACAGAGATTTGTGGGGAGACATACCTACCTACAACACCTGGTGTACACAAGGACAGAGATCTGTGGGGAGACATGCCTACCTACATCATCTGGTGTACACCAAGGACAGAGATCTGTGGGGAGACATACCTACCTACACCACCTGGTGTACACCAAGGACAGAGATCTGTGTGGAGGTGGTGTACACCAAGGACAGAGATCTGTGGGGAGACATGCCTACCTACAACATCTGGTGTACACCAAGGACAGAGATCTGTGGGGAGACATACCTACCTACAACATCTGGTGTACACCAAGGACAGAGATCTGTGGGGAGACATACCTACCTACAACATCTGGTGTACACCAAGGACAGAGATCTGTGGGGAGACATACCTACCTACAACATCTGGTGTACACCAAGGACAGAGATCTGTGGGGAGACATACCTACCTACAACATCTGGTGTACACCAAGGACAGAGATCTGTGGGGAGACATGCCTACCTACAACATCTGGTGTACACCAAGGACAGGGATCTGTGGGGAGACATGACCTACCTACAACATCTGGTGTACACCAAGGACAGAGAGTGGGGACAGACCTACCTACAACATGTGGGGACCAAGGGACATGACTGGGGAGACATGCCTACCTACACCATCTGGTGTACACCAAGGGACAGAGATACACCACCTGGTGTGTGGGAGACATGACTACCTACCTACAACATCTGGTGTACACCAAGGACAGAGATTTGTGGGGAGACATGCCTACCTACAACATCTGGTGTACACCAAGGACAGAGATTTGTGGGGAGACATGACTACCTACAACATCTGGTGTACACCAAGGACAGAGATTTGTGGGGAGACATGACTACCTACACCACCTGGTGTACACCAACAAGGACAGAGATTTGTGGGGAGACATGCCTACCTACAACATCTGGTGTACACCAAGGACAGAGATTTGTGGGGAGACATGACTACCTACAACATCTGGTGTACACCAAGGACAGGGACAGAGATTTGGTGGGGACAGGGACATGACATACCTACCTACAACATCTGGTGTACACCAAGGACAGAGATTTGTGGGGAGACATGCCTACCTACAACATCTGGTGTACACCAAGGACAGAGATTTGTGGGGAGACATGCCTACCTACAACATCTGGTGTACACCAAGGACAGAGATCTGTGGGGAGACATACCTACCTACAACATCTGGTGTACACCAAGGACAGAGATTTGTGGGGAGACATACCTACCTACAACATCTGGTGTACACCAAGGACAGAGATCTGTGGGGAGACATACCTACCTACAACATCTGGTGTACACCAAGGACAGAGATCTGTGGGGAGACATACCTACCTACACCATCTGGTGTACACCAAGGACAGGGATCTGTGGGGAGACATGCCTACCTACACCATCTGGTGTACACCAAGGACAGGGATCTGTGGGGAGACATGCCTACCTACACCACCTGGTGTACACCAAAGACAGAGATTTGTGGGGAGACATGACTACCTACACCACCTGGTGTACACCAAGGACAGAGATTTGTGGGGAGACATGACTACCTACACCACCTGGTGTACACCAAGGACAGAGATTTGTGGGGAGACATGACTACCTACACCACCTGGTGTACACCAAGGACAGGGATCTGTGGGGAGACATGCCTATCTACACCATCCGACAAGGCACATGATGATGTTAATGAGACATCACTAAGAAGAATATAGATATCCTGCCATCTAGTCTACAAAAGCCATTACGTGTGTAGTTGAGGTTTAATTGACTTTGATGTCGCTTCACTCCATCTCACCACAGTAGCACTAATGCACGGGACTCGCTACTTTACCTGATGCCAACTATTGCATCAAACATACATGCTTGGCTACTCAGCCATTGTGTTTCTGCAAAATTGTGTAGGACTGTATCAATGTCAGTTAGTATTGTTTGCTGTTTGACCTATATTGAATCTGATAAAACTGATTGTAATATATAAATGTATCAGTCTGTTCTCATGTTATCAAAGTGCTGGCCTACTTTTATCTGATCAGTTGTGTGATAGTGATAACCATTTCATTCATTATCACAGGTAATACCTGCACCACACACAATACTATTAAGTTACTGTAACCACGAGTTCATTAAGGTTTGTACTAATAGCTACAACATTCAGCTAGATAGGGAGACACAAGAAAGTCATGATTTTGTCCTGTTCTTGTAAGCATTATTTAATCAGCTGCCCCAGAAAATCGTGTCCACCTGGCCAGGTTGTTTGTCTCTGAACACTTGTCTACATGTACTGTATGTTTGGTTATTCCAACAGTCTCTATCAATCTAATTGATGTAGAGACGTTTTCACCCAACCTTCCATCAATTGTTCCAACAGTCTCTATCAATCTCATTGATGTAGAAACGTTTTCACCCAACCTTCTATAAATTGGGTTCTGTCTCCACAGTCAAGTTTGGCTGCTGTGGATCTCCAGATTGCTGTCTTTTGCCCGGATATGCAGTCTCTCTGTCTGCTGTTCGTTCACACCCAAATATTACCCAACTTGTATTGCTGTCTTTCCTTTCTTTAACTTGTCTTTTCAGTTAGGTTTTTAAAAAGTGTGGTATGTCTTTTAATATAGGTGAAATATTTTACATGTATCTCTTTTTTTTTTCTGTCAGCAACTCTGTTGACATTCCTAGTGTCTTCAGAACCTTGGTATTTGATTTTTTTGTTTCCATGTGATGCAGCCTGTTCTGTATATCCACCTGTGCAGAGGCTCAGTAGACTTTTCTTATTGCTTTTTAATTGTCGAGGCCTGTGCACAATACAACCTGCTGCAGAATGACTGTGTGCTTCAGTAGGGTCAACTTGTTAAAATCTGTGCCATATAATATTGCTAGGTATGTCTTTCCACATCTGTCTGTCTTGTGTACTTTCAGTCGTTTCTAACACAGAAGATCCACCATGTCCGACTGCTGAGTATCTTCCCTCTTGGTGTGTCTCTGTCTCCCAGCCCCTGCGACATTACTGCTGGCAGTGTTCTCTTGTTTTCCCAGAGTCAGTTTTTATAATTGGTACAACGTACAAGCTGGTCTCTTTAGGTACAACATGCAAGCTGGTCTCTTTAGGTACAACATACAAGTTGGTCTCTTTAGGTACAACATGCAAGTTGGTCTCTTTAGGTACAACATGCAAGCTGGTCTCTTTAGGTACAACATGCAAGCTGGTCTCTTTAGGTACAGCATACAAGCTGGTCTCTTTAGGTACAACATACAAGCTGGTCTCTTTAGGTACGACATGCAAGCTGGTCTCTTTAGGTACAGCATACAAGCTGGTCTCTTTAGGTACAACATGCAAGCTGATCTCTTTAGGTACGACATGCAAGCTGGTCTCTTTAGGTACAGCATACAAGCTGGTCTCTTTAGGTACAGCATACAAGCTGGTCTCTTTAGGTACAACATACAAGCTGGTCTCTTTAGGTACAACATACAAGCTGGTCTCTTTAGGTACAACATGCAAGCTGGTCTCTTTAGGTACAACATACAAGCTGGTCTCTTTAGGTACAAGCATGCAAGCTGGTCTCTTTAGGTACAACATACAAGCTGGTCTCTTTAGGTACAACATACAAGCTGGTCTCTTTAGGTGTTCACACTTGTCAGAGAAGACTAGATATCCAGTGCATCCAGTGCACCACTCCAGAATCCAAGAGAAGTATAACATCCCTGATTTCTTTGTTTGTCCTTGTAAGAATACAGACTTTGTATCCACCCAACTCAAGTCAGGGAGGAATGTTATCATTTGAAGCCACTACACCCTCATTTGGAATGAGCTGAACTAAGCTGAGTTTCCAGAACCAACATTATAGCATCTGGAGCATTCCTTTAAACACTTCATCCCTATCTTCAGCAGCCAGCAAAGAGTTTCAACTCTGTGGTATCAGTAGCAATCTGATCTTGCCTTTCCTCTGAGTGTGAAGTGTCAGCAGAATCCCCCTAACCACTCCCTGTTGCAACATTCTCTTTGGACTCATGGTCTAATTGTACCTCCGCAATGTTCACTGACTTTCAGAAGGCCTTTACAGTATCTAATTTGCCATGCATCAGTTCACCAAGTGGTGCAGAACCAGCCTGTCTGTCTACCTGTTCATTTCCCAACACACCTACCTACATTGGATAAAATATCCAAAAGATGCTAACGGACTCCTGAAGTGATGATTGCCACTTTGCCCAGAGTGTACCTATCTCCACCTTTCTCCGCATGATTTGTGAGTCACTTTTAATCCCAACACGTGTGTGCATTTTTTCTAAAGCCAGCAGATGGCTACCTGTTCCTCCATTCTTGAACTAGATGTTGGATATCATATGTTGGGCCAAGGGTCCATTCGCTTTTGCTATGAACTCGCCATTTCTTTTGCCTCTCAACACAGAGTCATCTGTATAGATAATGACATTACCTGGGTGGGAATTCAGAAATAGAGAAGGAATATTCTGAACTGCTAGCAACAGATGGCCACATGTGTGAACTTACTGAATGAGGTTGTTTTTTTTTTTAATTCAAATTATTTCATTCAATTGCTGTGTCTGTAAACCGAATAATGTGATAACTAAAGCTGTATCAACACTTATTTCTTTCAATTGCTGTGTCTGTATACCAAATAATGTGATTACTAAAGCTGTATCAACACTTATTTCATTAATTTGATTTGTATTGTTTATTCCTCAGAATGGACCTCTCCCATTTTCAAAGTTTGAGTTCCTGGTTGCATGGTTGCTTCGTGAGATGTTGTCGCCCTATATCATCCTTCTCGGCCATCTGCAAGACCATGTGGTGTGGAGAAACAGAAAGTACAAGCTAAAGTGGGGTGGGGAAATTGAGTTAAAAGTCTTACCAAATTTAGAATTGGTGAATGTGTCCATGTAGAGACAAACCATCTGATTCTGCTTGCGAGTATTTTATTGATGTCAACAAAAATATTTGTTAACACTTTTTGGGTAAGCAAAAGGCTGTTGATACAACTGAAAATGTGTACAGAAAAACTTAAAGCATCACAGAATATTATTAGTGTGTTGTATACTTTTGCACAAGTATCTGATGTGTGTGTTGTATACTTTTGCACAAGTATATGATGTGTGTGTGTCATTTCAGCTTTCTATTGAACAGTGGCCTTCCATTAGTTCTTGCCATTTCTAACTGTTGTATTGCTTTCCACTCCTGTGTCTTTTAATTGCAGCTGCCTGTTGTAAACTTGTTTTGTTAACCTACCTCTTGTATCCTGTAATGTCCTGTAGAAAGATTCCATGCTATTGTCTGTGTGTAACATTACGATTCATCTGGTCTAGAGTGACTATCCATTCATTAGTTTCTTGTTGCCTGTTTGTGATCTCACAGCATCAGGTTAGTGTACCTGTGTCACACTTGATGGTAATTTTTATCTTTTCTTCGATTTTCAGTAGTCTGTTAGTACTGAATTTGTATTTTTTTTTTAAATATGAATTGTGAAGTAACTGTGGTGCTTATTGCCTCCCTGGTAATATATTTTATCTTTCTCATGGCTTGCTGTGGAAACAAATGATGTGAATTATACATGATAGTATATACCTGTTTGACATACTATATTATATTTGATGGTGTGTGTGTCTTAAAGATACAGTGTGTGTGTGTGTTAAAGATACAGTGTATGTGTGAGTTAAAGATACAGTGTATGTGTGTGTTAAAGATACAGTGTATGTGTTTTAAAAATACAGTGTGTGTGTGTGTGTGTTAAAGATACAGTGTATGTGTGTTAAAGATACAGTGTATGTGCGTGTTAGACAATAAAGTGAAACAAGCAATTTCAGGCTCACTTATAACAGTATCAAAAATTCAGTTTCTCATGAACTGACCAGTTTCTTTCCTCCAACAACATTATGAGCTGTCAGGTGTTTATCTGTTAGCACATCGGAAATCCTTAAAGCCTGGTGACTAGCTGTTTATCTGCAGCCTAGTATACGTAAAATTGAATTCCCATTGAGGCAGATTTAAAAAAATAGACTCGGGCCCTCAAGTTGGCATAGTCTAACAATGGATACCACCAAATATTCTGGGAAATAAATGCAGCTAGAATGATAGTGACCAAATCAGTTTGAACATAGGCCTTGAGTTCAGTTTAAACATAGGCCTTGAGTTCAGTTTGAACATAGGCCTTGAGTTCAGTTTGAACATAGGCCTTGAGTTCAGTGTGAACATAGGCCTTGAGTTCAGTTTGAACATAGGCCTTGAGTTCAGTTTGAACATAGGCCTTGAGTTCAGTTTGAACATAGGCCTTGAGTTCAGTGTGAACATAGGCCTTGAGTTCAGTTTGAACATAAGGCCTTGATTCAGTTTGAACATAGGCCTTGAGTTCAGTTTGAACATAGGCCTTGAGTTCAGTGTGAACATAGGCCTTGAGTTCAGTTTGAACATAGGCCTTGAGTTCAGTGTGAACATAGGCCTTGAGTTCAGTTTGAACATAGGCCTTGAGTTCAGTTTGAACATAGGCCTTGAGTTCAGTTTGAACATAGGCCTTGAGTTCAGTTTGAACATAGGCCTTGAGTTCAGTGTGAACATAGGCCTTGAGTTCAGTTTGAACACAGGCCTTGAGTTCAGTTTGAACATAGGCCTTGAGTTCAGTGTGAACATAGGCCTTGAGTAGCTCAGTATATTAACATAAGTCTTGTACTAACATTTGACTGTGGAAGGGTTTAGAGCCTAATTGTATGTTTCCCAAAACTAACAGAAGGATGAGGACATGACATCCAGAGATGGACAAATACAGCATGAGGAAATGAGCAGTCAGCAGCAGAGATATTGCTCCTAGCAGTCAACCTTCATTGAGTTGAGTTGAGTCAAGAATTGACATCACAGCACTTGAGGCATTCCCATGTGTGCTCCATCCTAATATCAGCAGCCAGCGCAGAGTTTTAATACTGATGGTTGGTTTAAAGTCTGTCTTGTATTTCCTCTGAGTGTAGTGAGCCGGCCAGACCCTCTGGTTACACCCAGATGCCTCATTCTCTCCAGGTTAAATAATCTTCTGATTCCGTTGCTTGTTCCCAAAGGTCCTTGACCACATCTGCCTTGTCATATATCAACTCACCACCTAGTGGTGCGGATCCAGCCAATCTGTCTGCCTGTTCATTACCCACCATGCCAGCAAAGCCTGGGGAATCAACCTTCAATGTGCAGCTGCACCTGATTCATTTATATGTGAGCAATTGGACAACAACAGCTGGCTGCAGCTGGCACAAATGTTGAATGTTGAAATAAGAATTCACATCACTTGGGACACGCCCGTAAGCGCTCCATCCCCATCTCCAGCAGCAAGCAAAGAGTTAAAATTCTGATGGTACCAGTATCTGTCTGTATATCCGCCTCCACTTTCCCCTGAGTGTCGAGCGTCAGCCAGATCACCTTGTAACTCCTCACAGTGCCATTCACAGATCGTAATGATCTATCTGTTCCTCGGCACAAAAGCTGCTAAAACTGAAGGAAAACAGAAAGATGCCCCCATGTAGCTTCAGGTTTCTCATGATGACTGTGTGGCTCACTTGCAGATGTTGATGGAATAGGTGTGCTGTATACACTGCACGGAATGAGTGATATAGCTGTAAAACAAACAAAAATAACAGTGCTAGCCCCACAAGGAAACAAGAAAGCAACGCTAGAAGAGTTCAGGCATTTTAGCTTTACAAGAGACAGAAATAACAACCCTTCAAGAGGTATAACATTCCACCTTTTCAAGAGGGAAAAACACAAAAGGGATATAACATTCCAGCTCTCTGAGACACACACAAACACTAGAAAAGATATAACATATCAAAGAGATATAACATCCCATCACTACAAGTGATACAACACTCCAGATCTACAAGAGACAAAAGAATTACACCACTAAAAGAGATATACAATTCCAGATTTACAGTAAAAAAAATAGGAACACTACAAGAAAGATAAACATTCCAGCTCTACAAGAGATATAAATGACAACCCTACAAGAGATATAACATTCCAGCTCTACAAGAGATATAAATGACAACCCTACAAGAGATTTAACATTCCAGCTCTACAAGAGATATAAATGACAACCCTACAAGAGATATAACATTCCAGCTTTACTAGAGATATAAATGACAACCCTACAAGAGATATAACATTCCAGCTTTACAAAAGATATAACATGCAAGCCTTTCATTAAATTCCTTGTATTACATATACTGACTTTAGAATTGTGCTTGCTTTTGACAGTCATTTATATGCAATGATGTAGATTTTCCCTGCATGTTTTTTTTTTTGCCCTTGAAATTTTTACAGATAAATGGGGCTGCTATTGGTTGGTTGCAACTGTCATGGTCTCACGGTTTTTGATATTTAGATGGATGCAGTAGTGGGCCGGTAACTGCTACAGACATAGCTCTGTGCTTGCAGTAGTGGGCCGGTAACTGCTACAGGCGTAGCTCTGTGCTTGCAGAAAACATTCTGATGTTATTTATTCATAGATGTGGCTGTTCTTTTGGTGTACAAGTTGGATGGCTGATGTTGTTTTAGTCAATATGATAGTTTTTTTTGTGTTCCACTTGACTTAAAGAGTCCTCACAAGTGAAAGGAGTGTTGATGCCTTTCCGACGCTGTTGCATGTGTCACTATGTTGCTGTTAGGATGTGTGATATTGATTTCATTGCCTCCCTTTTTGTGACTTCTTTAGCAAAACTGTTTTTTTTTTTTTTTTTTCTGTTTAGTTGAGCATTTACAGACATGACCGATATCTTAATAGTCATGCATTTACAGATGTGAGACCAAGTTAGCTTTCACTGTCTATTGAGTCAAGCATTTACAGACGTGAGACCATGTTAGCTGTCAATGGCTTTAGGGTTTGTGAACGCAGTTTCATAATCCAACCATATCTGGGTTTGAATTATGTTGATGCTGACAAGGATCGAGCACTGTGCAGAATTTAACATGGCTTAGGAAACTGCACAGGTCTATAAATGCTAGTGTTGGGTTGTGATGTTCTTAAACATGTCAGCAACAAACCTATCATTGGATAGATGGGACTGATTTATTGGCAGCCTAACATCAAATTGTACAAATAATAATTTGGATGTACACATACTGTTATAGACGCATTAATGTCATCAAAATTGAGGTTTCTGTCAGGTCATATTGAGTCATGTCATGACGGACGAAGACTTGTCGTAACTGATGAGTTTCCTGATGCATGAGTCATTTGCATTTGTCTGAGTTTGAGGCTGGAAGTTGGTGCACGCCTGATGGGGTGTTGCCTTGGTCTCTGCATGACGACATTTGCCGCCATTACTCTGAGCCATTAATATTTAACCAAAACTACTATGATGTGCCAGATTGACTGGTTGGAAACCTCCTTCTTAGAATGCATTTTTAATATAATGTTTTAAAAAATATGTTACTGTAGTAAGTGGAGAATTTTCTATGTTGATATGTAAATATAATTTATTATTTTAGAATATTTTAATGTTACCAATATCATCATTGTCATTATTATTATATTTTGGTGTGGTGTATTACACTAGAAAGTTATGTCTGTGTGTTACTAATACTTATTTTTTCCCTCAAATTTTGTACTGGTCACCTTTTTTCACTTGGAAAAATAAATAATACTTTCCTTAAATAAAAATCTTTGTTACTGAAGTCAGAATTTACAGATGTGAGCATGTTAGCTGTCTGTTTAGTCAAGTATTTACAGCCGTGACTCTGTTAACTGTTTGTTTAGTCAAGTATTTACACGTGTGACAATACTACCTGTTGAGTTGAGTCAAGAATTGACATCACAGAACTCGGGGCATTCCCATACATGCTCTGTCCTCATCTTCAGCATCCAGCGCAGAGTTTCAATACCGATGGTGCCGGTCACAGTCTGGTTAAGTGTC